CAGGTTCTTCTGTAACTGGTACAACTGAAATTTCATATCCCGCACGACGGAGAAATGTATTCAGAGATTATTTTACGACGTGGAATCTCGCCAAGTCCACGAATACAGGTGTACTCGTATATATACATATTATCGGTAGTACTTCTTTTCGTTTCCAAAATAGAGCCTCGAGGTAGAGCAGCAATTTAACAGGGGCTTATTACACAGATTCCCATACATATAATACTTACATACAATGGTATACGTATTAAATGGTAACGAGAATTGAAATTGCCATTAAAAATTTTTTGGACTTTTTCAAATTTGAAAAAAAAAATTCCAAAATTTTTTATAACACCGATGGCCCATGGGTCGACGTTCGAACGTTGTATTGTTCCCAGAAAAGGTAAAACTGACGAACACCTGCGAAGCAGTAAGAGAACAAAGGGGAATGAAAAGGAAAGGCCATTCTTTGAATTTTGAGTAAAGATAACGGTACCACTGAGAGTATTATAAGGGTTTACTTCCAGCCAATTGTAATTACAATGGTTACCGTTAAGGGTGTTAAAATAAAACGATCTCGTCGTATCTTCAAAATCCACCCCTGAAAGCCATCCGTCTGCTTCATTGTCCCCCGCTGTTTATTAGCCTTGAAGAAAAACGACGTGCAGCGCATAAAATTGTGAAACCAGTAAAAATAACAATATTACCAAAAAAAAAAAGAAGCGAGGGAGTAAACAGGTTAAAAAAACTGTAGAGCGGACGCGGTTGGCGCGTGTCACTCGACGTAGAACCCGAAGCCGGCAGATCAGGGAGGATCGTGCACCCTCGTCAGCTATCGAGAGCTTGAATCGATGTATCGAAGCAATATATCGACTATGACGCGATCTGTCATATTTTGTGACGTGACGGTTGAAGGTGGATAATACGGACACGCGTCCGATCGGAATTCCACATCCGTGAAAAACACGAGCAGCCATGAAAAGGGGGTCAACCCATTTTGCATATCCTATATATCCAATATACGTATATCTTCGGTATGACGTGGCTCGCCAGCCCTGATCTGTTAAAATATTTTCGAATCAATATTTATTTTGAAGGTAAAAACTCATAAAGATACCAGGTATACAAAACTATATCTTATAAGAAGCGAAGTCGTTAAATAGGGTTGATATAAATATAGATGTAATTTTTTATCAAATCACGTGTATTTAATCTCTTTAGTCGAGTATGGAATTTAAATTTACCGCGCATTTCATAGGCCATTCTGATCGACTGTATAAAAACATTTGATCGTACCGGTCCAGTTGGCCGGTACGCCTGTACGATTACAGAAGACTTTGGGTAAGTTGATCTTTTGTTTTCTTTAACTTACAAGCCTTCTAACTTCGTTCGTACCGACACACTCGTTTTCTCTCGTTTCCTTTCAACGGCCGCGCAGTCATTTACATTTTTATGAAGTGCAGATCTGCCAAGGCGGCGCTGCATATACTTTTCGCGAGCGAGATGCTATTACAAGAGCGATCACCCTGACGAGGCGAGTAGCGTCGGTTACTGCAGGGTATGTTTCTTAACTGTGTATGAAATCTACCCTGGCTTTGGTTTCGGCAATTTTTTTACATACGATACTTACCACAGGAACGTACAGTCTCTGTATGGTTGGCTGAGTTTTGCGTGAATTAAAAAATTTTTTCATCGATTTCGACACATCCGCCAATTGGCAAATTTTGCTTTCACGCAACTTTTCGCAATTGTCGTTTTTTTTAGCAACCTTTTTTTTTTGGTATGTACCACCACGCATTAGAATCGATCGGCAAAGCAACCAATCAGCTATTCTCTTTTGAGGGGACTGTCACTGAAAAGCCTGTGTGCACAGGCAGTCATGCACACGCTGTATCCTTGTAAACTGTAACATGTAAACAGATGCCCACTGGTGCATATGCGAAAATGTGTGGAAATTCGCTCGGCCAAAAATCCACTCCAACGCGTTTCACCCTCGTGCAGATTTTGAGCGTCTAATAGAAAAAATAATTTTTTATTTTTCGTAGCCATTGACCATCTCAAGGATCCTGTTGAAATTGTAAGAGCAACTATGTACGTACCCGGTGAGTGTATTACAGGACAAATGAAATGATGCAAATAATAATAATAATTTTTTATAATTACCTCACGCAATAAATGTTAATTATATAAATTAATATTATTTAAGACAGACTGAAGACTCTTATGCATCAAGGGGCTTTTGTCATTTCGAATAATTAAAATCTCAACGACTTCAGCTGACTACGTGGTTCTCGGTTTCGATGCGCGCGCATCCCGAGACTCTCTGCCTTAATACCAAGCTCTTGGAACTGAGACGCCTATATAATCTCCCTTGTCACAGTACAGTAGGCTTCGGTATACTAAAGCATTCCGTAAGACGTCTCAAAATAATTTCAAGCAAAAAAAAAGCGGCTTACGATCTCATCTACCAATGGTATAGCCATTGACATCAGAAAATTTTATACAACTTTCGTTCAAAGAAATTCCGAAAAATCGAAGAGAGGAAAAAAAAACGTATAACAATTTTCCAGAAACAACCACGGCCAAAACTCTTACGGAAAGCGGGAGGATCAACGCGAGCGAGATTCTCGTGATAAAAAAAACTTTCCATGATAAACCCATCCCAAAAGTCATTTTCAGGATTCGAAAAAAAAAATTGTAAAGTCCAATTCAAGGGATTTTGAGGATCTTTCAATTTGCCATAGTACCAAATTTATACGGATCTTCTAAATCCGTATAACTATATATCTATATATTTGTGATTTAATTTTTTTTTCTTATATAAATCTTTCTTCATTGGCACCCGTGCTTTAGTATTTTCACGTGTACGTGCATTCAAACGTGCATGGGCTCGTATGCCCGTATCAAATTATACCTATATATACATGCATATATGCACGTACGCACATACGTATAAGCAAACTGCGTACGGCGTCGTGGTCTCGCGTATGTGCCACTGTTTATTTTATTACGTAATCTAGGGCAATAAACTTTGCTCGGGTTTATTTATCCCTAGCCAATATTTGTTTGCAATGTAAACTCGGCGCGCCGGTCTGCCCTGCCCGTACCTACTCTCCTGGCTCTACTGGCTATGGAATATCGACTACCGTGTTTTCCAATACATCTACTCGCAATACTCGAGCCCGCGAGCAAACTGATAAAATTTACGTCCCGTCAACTTTCGCGCAAAACCCCTCAAACGGCCGTTTCTGTATCTTACCCTAAATACAGATACAAGTGACCCAGAGCAAAACGTCATCGCATATACAAAAGCGTATAGGCTCGTGTCGGTAGGAACCTGAAGCTAGTAGTGAGCAAAAGAGCTTTTGAAAGGGTCAGCTTCCTATGAGTTTTAAAGTAAATAAGTCCCCTGAACAGAATCTACTCGTGGAACTGTACGCTGTCATTACACTCCTATCCATTAGAATTTCGGCTCCTAACCCTATTAGCCTGCTAGAAGGTGAAACGAAGAGGAAAGATAATACAGTGAAGTAATAAAAAAAAAGCCTTGAAGATTCTCTTTGTCGTCAAGAATTTCACGATTCTTCCGGCGTCTACGTCACTGCAGTCGCATTTGCACAGATCAAAGGAAGTTCTGCATAATCGTAGGAATGAAGCGATTTAACGCTATGCATAACCAGGGACTAGAAAGAGGCATTTCGGTCGTCTATCGGACTACGCGAAATGCGAGGCTTTAATCTAGCTGGCTAGGCTGCTTCTTTTGGCGAATAAAAAAAATTTTTTTTTTCATAGTCGCCGCCGCCTCCCTAATCCCATTGGATTTGTGCACTATTTACGAGAACGGCTATTTTATATGTATGTACTATGTACCTGATATCTGTGTGAGGACAGTATATATGCATATGGGGGATAGTAAGTAATATATATATTTCCTGCGATACTGTCGTATCCCGTTCATTTTGAATCTGTCTCTACGATAATCCCTATGCGCGCTTTATAATTCGACGTAACCGGTATCAGCGTTCTAATAAACTAGCAGATCTAACGGGAAACGATAGGCACGAATTGGATGTTAAAAGCGACGATTAAAATTTGACGATAAATGCTATAATAAAAAAAGGAAAAAAAAAAAAAAGAAATTCTTATCGTAACTCTTGACTAATGGATACGTGACAATTTTATTTTTTTTTTTATTTCCTTGAGTAATCGCGTTTTATCGTGCGACTATTGCTACGGGGCATTGCGAGAGAATATTCCGAATTGACTTTCTTGTTGGCGGGAAAATTCAAATTGTCAATACATGAATGATACGTTTTTTATGTATAAATATTACTTAAGAAAATTGTATCTTATGCAGTATGCAGTTTATATCTCCGGTACGGAGATCAATTCGCTGTTAAATTTTCATGAATTAATTTCCGCCATCTTGAAGACACTTAAATCGTCTGACCCGGCTTTATGCTGCTTTATCTACTGAAAAATTTAACGTACACCCTCGAACGGCATTTTATTTCAATGACAAAGTATTACTACCTGGCTGATATTATTTGAGAAAAAAAAAATCTTAATTTTTGTAACTCTTCTGAATTTTCTTTATCTTTTTATATACACATATTACACAGTCATTCACTCGTTTGCTTCCGTCCACAAGAACTTCTATGAGACCATTACAGTCCTTTGAATCAGTAATAAAAACTAATAAAACTAACGTAGATGCTATATCTATATAGCACTAGAAATTATGTACTAACGTACTTCAGACATTCGCGAATATTACGGCTTTTGTTCTTAAGCCGCTTCTTGCACTCAGCCAGCTTATTTTTCTTTTTGTTGCAGCCACGTCCTTCCACGTCACTGTCGAGCTTACCAGGAACAAGTAGGTGCAGTGCATTATATTAGTAGGAACAGAAAATAAAAAATTACAAGAAATAATTGAAAGTTAATTTAATTATAGATACGGTCCCAAAAAAATTTGCAAATATAATTTACGCAAATATGCATACATTTTTTAAGGACACTCTTCGGATATATAATTTTAATTGTACCCATGATTAGTAATATTTCATCAGGATATTCGATATCAATATATATATCTTTGATTCATGAATTTCTTAGTTTCGTAAGTCAGCCATGAGAACCGAAGCACAAGCAGTAATAATAATGGCAGCCACGTCTTGCCCGGTTACGCGTGTCATAACCGTTTGCAACCAACTGGGTTTGCCAGCTATCTACGAGTAGAATGTATCGTATTCATACGTGGATATATATATATATATATATATATATATATATATGTGACGTTCAAGGTCCTTTTCCTCTCTTACATAAGATCTCCCATATACAGTGTATCTTATGTAGTGACATATAAATCTATTTGTACTTTTACTGTACATCTTGCGCGTGCGTGGGAGACCAATACTCATTTTTTTTCTTTGACGCGTTTGACGTGATGCTGTCGTCTTTTCTTTTATTTCCTCGAAAAATTGTTATTTCCTATCAGACGGACGATAAATTGTTCCCAGAATATGTAAACATTTTTCAGAGCTGGTATACAATGTCTGCTGCGCCTATACGTATATATGATTGGTAATAAGTATCGATATTTCTCCGATACAATCAATTATTCTTTGGCGGAACAGAAGGAAAGTCATTTCTTACGCGTACGAAGGGGTCCGAGGTATATTTATATATATGTATGTAGATACATCTTTTTCATGAATATATACATATATTATATAAACTGTATATAATAATTGACCAGAGTTCGAATTTTCTGCTTACAAAGAATTTCTAAAAGTTCAAAGACAAGACCGTTGAGTCGTTGCTGATAATTAAAAAAATTATTTTTTTACATACTTTGCCATTTTTCAAAAATAAAAAATTTAAGGAATGCGATAAAAAATGTTGAGAAACTTATATTTCGATACGTAAAATTCTGCAATTTGATTTCGAACGACAAAGTTCCACTTGCGATTATAGACACAAAGGATGCGCTTCTATGCGCGATAATAGCGAGTGGGTTGCCCAGTCGGCCATTATCCGATGTATGCCAGATGACGCAGTCCTTTTTGCCTTTCTGAGCGGCTTGCAAAACGCTGAAAGCTTTAAGCATCCACCGATTGCGAGCAGAATATTCTTTGTGGGATTTTTGCCTGATATATGCATACGTATACACATATGGTAAAGTCCGTGAATACAAACAGTGCCGAACCAGTACGATAGTTACGTATGTTGACATATGACGACCAGCTAGATATAATAGTACACAATGTTGACCAGTAGTATATTGCACCGACCGAAGTTAGCCGATGTATTTAATTTCTATGAAAGAACCAACTTCAGGTTGTAAGATGCTCCAGAATGGCTATATACTCTGTAAAAATTAGCGTAAGAAGTATAAAAGTTATTCATATTATCATTTAACGTCCAAATCTATACGATGAATATAGCGAAGGAAGATTTACCTGATTTTTGAAAAATATTAACAAGGAACCCTGTAATTCGATTTTAAACCGTCATTAGGTTACACTGGAAAAATGTGACTGTTGCGAATACACAGGTAGATGCGCGAGGAAACAAGTACGAATTATTTAATCTCATTTTCATTTCTCTTTCTCTCGAGATACAATACAGATATAAAGATACATTATCTTCGAATGCGCATGCGCACCTAGATACAATAGATTACAGGGTATTACTTTATTCCAGATTTAAACTGGCGCAAACGTTGGCGGCGTGGCACGATTACGCGAGCGTTTACTAATCAGATTAGCCGTTTACTTTGGCACGCAATTCCGTGCAATTCACCTTCGACGATTTTTTCAAGCCGCGAAATGGAATTTGGAAATTTACGCAAAATAACTATGTTTTTATCTTACATAGAATGGGAACGCACTATCAGACTGCAGGATGAGTATCAATTAAAAATGGCGTATTAAGTTTTTTTTAACTCTTTCTTCATTTTTCTTTCATTTACCAAGCAGAGAAACACGGCGAACGCAAAGGTTAAGTCTAAATATAAATATATAAGAATATCTTACTGCGCATGCGCAACAGGAAGACGAGTTTTGCGTATGTCAAGACGGCAATGAGGCCGTACGACGAACGACGAACGTTTAAAATTGTCGCAGACTAAACATTGTACTCGTTGCTTTTCTTGACCAATCCGTAACGTGTTCTTGACTCCTTTTCTGTATATATATCTATACCCATATCGACAATGGTCCATGAGAACATCTTATATAAGACGCTGCGAGGTCAATAGTTCATTCCGATTTCGCGAATAAATATAACGTGGGAATATAAAATTTGAATTATGCAAAATAAAAACAGCAATGGCTGTCATAAGCGAATTCCAATTTAATACCGATTCGACAGGTAAAACAGGTTTTGCCTTTTGCTTCTACTATTTAATTAGCCGGTGTACTTGCGTTTGGCGTCGCCGAGCGTCGGGACGTCCGTTACAACTTCGATCAGTGCATACCACATCCAGGACTCCTGTCTCGAATATGTTATGTATGAATGTACTATACATTAGCTATATACATATACATATAGTCTCTTGGAATTAACTCCGTAGATATATGTTACTGTGTATTATAAATATATACATATATTATATATATAACCGAGTAGTTGAATATACCTGCAACTAGGTGGACATGCAACGGGCGACTATTACATGAAAATTATATTCCTTCCCACTGCGTATATTCTTCCATAATAATATCTTTAATAATACATTCCCGCTCGATGAAAAACACTTGCTTTCTACCCGACATTCGTTTCCAGCGACGCTCTCTCGCGATGCGTTCTTCGTGTTACATTATTAAAATGCATAGGTAGCGATTAAATAAAAATAATGAAATAATAATGACGTTCCTCGTTACGAGCACAAAAAACTGTACTGGTACCAATGACTCTGTGCCGAGGAAAAATATTTTATTCCTTCAATCCATTTTTCATAATCCACGTACGACGACCGAGGAGGACAGGAGCCTCGAAAAAAAAAGGAAAAAAAAAAAAACATGAAAAAAAAATATTTTTATAATTGAAAAATATTTTCTCATATCGAACAGACGATTGGTCGATTTTCATTGGGAATGAAGTATCGTGTTTATATGCACACTGCACATGCACCTGTATGTCATACTGTTTTCTTATGTATATATATATATATAGCTATAGAGATACGACGATCGCTATCGGGGCCTACTTCGGCCATTCGAGCTTAAGACGACGTGGATGTCGTTAAGCCGGCGCGGACTTTGCAGGATCGCTGTCTGCAGGATAAAGGCTCTCGTATAAGACAGCGCGTCCTGTCTGCGCGCCATTTTGGCATTTTATCGGCTGCTTTATTGGGTGCTTAGACGAGCGGTTCTCCGCACACGTGCTCGATCCTCTTTGACGTTAGAAACGTCAAAATATCAGTTGACGCGAGAACCACTGGGCCTGTGCCCAGCAGTTCCACTTCCTTCCTTCTTACTCCTAGGAATATCTCCAGCGTGGCAGCTTGGACCGGCGACACCACATTCTCATTATGTTTCCGAACGGAGACGAGAGCACATATTGTTAGATACCCAGAATGCACCTCTTGGCAAGTGCATCGATATATCCAAGATGGCTGCCGATTATAAAACTAATTAATCAAACAATCAAATCAGTCTCGATATATTCTAACTGAATCTAATCACAATTATATATTTTCTTAATTATATTCGATATATATTTTTTTTCATCTTCTAAACTCTTCGTCCTGATCCTTCGTCTTTATACTTGTACCTCTTTCCTCCCGAGACACTGCAGAGATGGGGGTGCGCGCGTTTCACGTTCCTAGTTTCAAGTTGATACCCCCTGTGCGAATTCCAAAGTCTTCGTGGAACATTCCTGAAACACTTTCCTATCTCGAGGCTGAATTCTGGGCCGCCCTGGGTTGTTTGATGGGATAGGATGGGAATTGCGCAACCCCTTATCCCCCCGCGCCAACAGATAACTGCCAATACGTTTTGTTTGTTTTACATCACTTCTCCTTCTATCTATATCGCTCTCATCTTCTTCTTTCTTTTCTTCCCCCTGTTCTCCCTTCACCGTCCAACTTCCATAGTGATCTTTACTCTCTTAAGTCTGGGACTCCCCAACGTTCTCTTTGGACCAATCCTTCTCTTTCGGTACCGCCTTATTCGTGCCCGGATCGAACTGCAGGTATTTCAGGATAATCGGCACTTTGGAAATTCCTTAAATTCCCAAATTTCATAACCTGATCTTACTGTCTGAAAAAAAAACACAAAAATCTTTTCATAATAATATATTACGCTCTTATCACCTAAATAAAAAAATGCCATATATTCTTTGTTATCAGTAAGATAAAGTTACCTAGAATCAACCTTTTTTTTTTACGTGTACACAAATCACGGACTGACTGTACTCTGAGCCCATAACTCCCACAACGATTACCAATCTTACAAGATATTTTCCTTATGACATGCAGATTACCTTGATTACGTTAAATGTCAGGATACACATTCCCCTCTCACTGTACACATACATATATATAACAAATAGATATATTTACATAAAATCCCGTTCAACGACTATTTTCCATCTCACGAGTTAACATTGCACGAATGTATGTCGAAAAATTTCGAACTAAAAATCCAAAATCATCTTCCCAATACATATCCCGTTATCACTATATCTAATTACCACAATTGCAAAAGAAAAAGGTACAGTAAAGGCGTCGTCACCGGTAAAACGACGTGCGTCCGTGGTACCAACATCGCCTCGTACAATAGTCCCGCTGTATAAATACCAAGGATAGGGTTACGGCGTCGTACCGAATTGCAAACAACACTCAAGGTAAGCGAACGCGGAATGGTAAAACAGTCAGTCAACACCAGATGAAAAACAACCTCGGACGTAGTCGGACGGTTCTCTAAATAACAATAGTAACGGACGCCAAGGCGTCGTTACTAATATGACTTCGCCGAGCAGTAAAAGTATGGTCAAGCTGCACATATAGCATATCAACATACATGTATATACGGGACATAACTCTCATACGAATAATAGAAATCTATCGGTGCATTCAAATGAAATGCACCTACGCCGTCTATACCTGAAACCAACGCAACGTAAGTAGCAAACGTGTCGAACCACGTGTGTCTCACGTATCCACCCATGTGCTATACAACGTTACACCTTGACGTTCTAACTTCTGCAACGGTATATACATATATTATATACACACTCCCCCGCGATTCCTGCCTTCTAAGCAGCATTAAGTGGTGACTTCCATTCCGTATATTAGAGCATGCATTTTACATTGTAGCGGTACCGTGGACCGAGACAGGGGCAGAGATTTAGGGCCCATAAAAGTCCAGCCGGGTCCAGATACTTTTAATCTGTGCGCCGTGCTCAGTGGTGCCATAGAGGGCGCCCGGCAAAAACGTATAAAGTATGGCACTGAGGTAGAGAGAGAAGGAGAGATAGATAAATAGAGAGAGAGAGAGAGAGAGAGAGGCACCTCGGCTGAACCTAAGGTCTCGTCGACGCCCTGGTCGTCCTCGTCGTCTAACTCGAATGGCTCTGCTGGGATACGTGGGGAAACGCGGAGGAGGATAGTTTTAATATTGCGGATATACGGGACCGGAGACGCCGTCATACCGGCGCGAGATGGCCGCTCTAAACTGGCAGACTATGTCCAATATTCTTCGCGTATGTAGCTTATACGTACGTCTTTCCTCTTTCTTCTTGGAAGCTGGGGGTTGGACAGGGCTTTGTAGCGGAAGAGGGGGGAAAAGGGTACGAGGAGGGGGGGGGGAGAAGAGGAATATAAAATTCTCGAGATATCGCCAAGACGTCCTTTTACTATTTTCTCGCCCTCGCTACCCCTTTCTTCACCGCCCCCCCCCCCCCCCCCCCCCCCCCCCCCCCCCCCCCCCCCCCCCCCCCCCCCCCCCCCCCCCCCCCCCCCCCCCCCCCCCCCCCCCCCCCCC